GATTCCGAATTGAGAAAGATCATATGTTGTGAAAAAAGCTTTTTCAGATGGAGCATTAATCTTATCAAAGATGGATGAAGATGATTTATCTAATTCTATAAATTCTAATGCTGTGAAGAAATATTACGCTTAAAAAAAGAAAAAAAATGAAAAAATGAAAAAAATGACTCAAATCAAAAACCTAAAAAGGTAGTTTGAGTCAAAAAGAGTTCATCTAAGTTGAAAACCTGAAAAGATGATTTAGATGAAGAGGATACAACATTGAATTTGGGAATTCACCAATATGAAGGCTAGCATGTTCTGATGAGCTCTTAGTTGTTAGGTGCATCAGGTGGTTGAATTTTTAAAAAGACTTCAAGTTATGTTATTGTGATTATCTGATTGTTTATTTTGGGCGTTGTTACTCAAATAACCCAATTTTTGTAACCTTTCCTTTTTTAATAGCCAAAGTTGTTCTATCATTCTTTTTAAATAAGAGATTTTATTTTGTTCATTGTGCCTTTCTTTTAGTGATTATATCCCATTTATTCCTAATCTATCCCTTAGCTTTTCCCTTTAAATATTTTGTAATAGAAGAAATGTGTGATTGCATTTTTACTTCTTGAAATTGAAATAATGATTGATAAATGAATAATAGCATGAAATATTTCTACATTACTTTGGAAAGGTTAAAAGTGATAAAGGCAAAAATGAAATGTTCAAGGCCTGGTAAGGGCATTGCATTTGGAAATGAAATGAAAGATTTTCTTAAAAGGAAAATATAGTTATTAATATTGAATGAGAGAGATGATTGATAATTGAATCAGTTTGGTCTTATTGTTTGAAGCATGAAGAGCTCGAGATCCAAAAGAAAAAGGCTTGAGAATCTGTATACCATAATTGAAAAGATATTAATTGACATTTGCATAGCATGCATTGCATTTAGAAATGTCAAGTGAATGAATCTAAGAAACATGGATATTGAAAGATTCCCCATGAAGAAGATAAATGGAAACCTTTTCTGGTGAAGGAATTTCAAATTCTTGTTTTAGAATAAACTTTCGAGGTAAGATTCTAATCCTTGAAAAAAGGAAATTTCCAGAAAATCAATCATGGACAAGAAAGATTTTTCAAAATTTTAAAGTTATAGAGCCTTTGTACAAAGGAGCATTTTTCAGTATAAAAAATGATTTATAAGACCTCTAGATATAATCTCATAATTTCTTTAGACGTAATCTATAAAATCTTCGAGTATGATCATCAAAACTTTTAGGTGTTTATTTTTAAAGTTATGTGCCTTTGTTAGGAAGAGCTTTTAATTTTAAAGTTGAGCATCTATTTAGAGGAGCTTTTATGCTATTCAAAAAGTCTGAGTGTCCATTTAAAAGATTTTAAAAAAATCAAGTCAGTTGTTTGGATTTATGTAGGTTGTTGACACATTGGCACAATCCTTATTTCATAAAAAGGTGTGAAAAAGCGACAACTATAAATACACTATTTTGTCTATGATTAATTCCATAATGTAACTATTTGGCTTAGGTTTTTCTTTTTGTTATTTTTTTAAATGAAAGAAAAGAAAAAAGATAATTAAAAAACCAAATTGTAGAAACCTTGTTACAGAAGAATTGATGGGTGATAGAATTAAATCATGATTCTCAGGTGATAATTCTAGATTTTTTTTTTGGAAAATTAAATAAAAAGTTGTTTTAACATAAAGTTTAGTTTTAATTTGGGCTAGGATTTTGAAGAATCTAACTTTAACTAAAATACTAATAAGTTGGGATTCCTATTTATAAAAGGACAAATCATACAAAAATTGATAGCAGGATTGCGAAAGATACACACAGCAAAGAAAAAGAGAAAGAGCAAAAGAGCAAACATACAAATTAAAAAAAAAAAAAGTTTCGGGTAGAAGTTTTTGTTTTAATTAGGGAGGTTTGATTTAGTGCTGCTAGGGAATTTTAGAAAACAAGAAGGATTTGCAATTTTTTTATAAGTTTTTTTTTTTTTTGAAAATTTCTGGAAAACCTATATTCTAATAAAGTATTCTGGTAGTGCTTGAATTTTTTGATAGTTTTTTAGCTAATTTCCCAGTTCTTGATGGATTTTTCCAGAAACCAGCAATATTCAACCGGGGTTTTTCGTTCGTCTAAAGAGAAAGGCAGAGAAAACAAGGGTTAGAGAGAGAATGGAGGAGTAATTCTAAAAGGGAAAAAAATTTAGCCTTTTATAAATCAGCCAAACAACGTTGTTTTCGCATTTAACCTTTCACAAGATCCGTGCGTTTTCAAGTGGGTAGTTCATCCCATGTTGCGCCTAACCCATATGCATGGAATTGGTTTGTAGCTAAGCTAGCTGAGCCATTTAATTGAGCTTCGAGCAACGTCTTCCAAACTACTCCTCTATGTCTTGAACCGCATCCTGTGAGCCTTCAAGCTGAGCTACTTTTTTGGTATTTTTATTATTTTTCTCCTATTTATTTATTTATTTATTTTATGTTTAGTTATTTATTTATCTATTTATTTGTTTTCCATCTATGTTATTTGTCATTTATTTATTTGTTATTCATTTATCTATAAATATTTTTAAAAAAAGTAAAAATTTTAAATAAAATAAAAAAACCTTACTAATATATTGGAAGTTTCAAATTTTTTAAAAAATAAATGTTTAAATAAAAAATTTTTACTAACATATTGGAAAGATTTAAATTTTAATAAATTATTTTAATAAAACAAAAAAGTTTTACCAACATATTAGAAGATAATTTGATTTTTAGGATAAAGTTTTACCAATATATTGGAGAACCTTATTAATTTTTTATAAAAAAATAAATTTCAAGAGAAAAAATAATTTTCAGTAAAGCTTTACCAATATATTAGAAGGCAATTTAATTTTCAAAATAAAGTTTTACTAACATGTTGGAAAACCTTATGAGTTTTAAATAAAAATTAATTTGTAGAAAAGAAATAATTTTCATAAAATCCTACCAACATTTTTTAGGATAATTTCTAGCAAAAAATCTTACTAACATTTGGAGAATATTTCTGAAAATAAAAAGTTTTTTTTATAAAATTAGATTTTGAATCTCCGATGATAAAATTACTAAGAGTGTTGTAAATAGCAATCTCTAAGAAAATTTCTAAGTGAAAAATTCTTTCTAAATTTGATCAAAATATTGGAGAAATTAAAAAAGATTTTCAATATCAAGATTTTCACAAAAATGTCAATTATAACAAATAAAATGTTTTTTTTACAAAAATTAAATGAATCCGATACAGAGTCTTTTCGAAACGAGACAAATAGTCTCTTTGAATACTTTTGAGGTGAGAGGATGTTTTTGAATTATTACCAACATATTGGAGTAAATTGGGGATAATTTTTTATATTAAATTACTTAGTAAGTTTTTTAAGGTTTTAAATAACACGAGATTAAACTGGTATCATCTTTTGATGGATATTGTGAGGGTGTTATAACATTTCTCTTATGTAATCATACTCCTGAACCTAGTCATGGTTTCGTAGACATGAATTTACCTTTTAAATATATCTAAGTAAAAGCTTATGATATTTTTTTAAAATAGGACATATTTAATTAGGTGACCAATCGCATCTAAATAAAAAAGATTAGTAGTGACTCCTTAAAGTTAGGTCTAAAGATAGCTCTATGGATCTATATGTTATAATAGTATCAAAATTTTTTTAATAGAGTTCAGGTAAGAGTAAGGTTTTGGGTATTCCACTTTACCCTTGATCTCTTACCAAATGTCGTTTATTCTTTTTTTTTTTTTACCTTTTTCACAGACCTTTTTCTTTATAATTATATCTTTATGGACAATTCTCATTTTTTTATCTTCATTTCCCTCATTTACCTTTCTAAACTTTCTAATTCTTTTACAACTCTCTTAAAAAACAATAAAAGAATAATCATAATGGTGAAATGAGAGGTGCTCTGATGAAGTTGAGGTCTAACAAGAATATGTATTTATATTTGCCTTTAATTTGTGTTTGTATTTTTTAAATATTTTTATTATTTATTTCTAAAGCAATACATTTATATTTGTCTATATATTGTCATCCATTAAAATTTGGTATAAAAATGTTATTTCTCTTAAATTTAAAATATAATTTAAAAAATAAAAATTATCTTGTAGCAAAGCATAGGTCTAATTTTAGTTTATAATATTAATTTTGTAGAGAATGAGGAATGAAAGGGTGTCCACATGACCACCCATTTACCATCCAAAAATCTACCTTTTAAATTTTTTTCTTTTATTTTTACTTTTTTATTTGTTTTTTAACTTTAATTTTTTATTAGATAAATTTTGTAAAAAAAATTAATGGAAGTAAAGATGATAAAATAATTTATATTTAATTAGTTTTGATTCACATCAATTCAATTTAGATGCTTTTTAAAAAAAATTTTCAAAATCAAATCGAGATTTTTTTAAAAATTTGTTTGGATCGAAAAGTGTTCCAACCTATCTTAGGTGTTCACGTGATATCTTTCTCATTTTATATATATATTTTTAAAGCTTTAGATTTTTTTGTGGGTTTCCTTTTTAAAAATTTTTTTTATTGAATAAATTTTGTAATAAATAGTTAATTAAAATAAACATGATAAAAATACAATATTATGACAAAAAAAGTACAAAAAATATGAAAATGATACGATTTAAAAATTTAATAAAAAATCATATATAAATTTAACAGAATAAAAAAAAATTTATATTTTCATATTAGTACAATTATGACATATAATTTTGATATAAAACATGATATGAATATATAAATTATCAATATTTTACTTAATATGAATACACAAATTTTAGAAATTAAATATGTGTTTGAAATACGTAATTTTGAAAATTAAATTTAAAAGTACTTAAATTTAGTAATTAAGTTTAAAGGTCGCCTGGGAGAGAACTTCGCACTTGACTGTTTTATGTAAGAAACCGCGTTAGAGCTTTTGGTTGGAAAGAACTGTCATTCACGCGCATTGAGAGAGCGTACAAGAGTGGTAACCACATTGGTTACTTTATGTGAATAATCTCTACTCCAACAATTAGCCGAACCTTAAATCCATGTTTTTGCTATGAAATAAAGCGAAGTAGCAAATCAAAGCGAAAATCTCGATCCACTCTCTATCTCTAGTTTCTCTTTCTCATTTTCAATCTCAAAGCTCAGAATCTGTTGAAGTAAAAGATTGATTTCTTTTTTCTTGTTCTGTCTCCCAATTATTCCTCATTGAGTAAGCATTTATATTTCCATATCACTTTCTTCATTTCCTTTTCTGGGCCATTTTTGTTTCAAAGTAAGCTTATCTACCTCTCCCTTTTAAACTCTCGTGTATTTCAAGTATCTGGAAACTTAGACTCTAAGTATATTATTTTCTGCTTCTTCATTATCGGTTTTCTGGGATTGACTGGTCATTAGATCTGGGGGCAGTTTAGGAGCAAAAAGCTGCTTTTTATTTACTGCATGCTAAATATAACTGTTAAATTTTTTTTTCTATGAATTTTTGTACCGGTTACTGTTCCATGCTGTATTTTTGCCTGTAAATACCTTTCCCCATTTGCATTTTCGTGTGTTATTTCTCAGTTGATTAACCGACTTTGAGCTTCTTTGACCAAACTTTACTTGAATATCCATTACCTTTTCTGGCTGTTTCATATCTACATACGGAATTTGGGTTTTTTATTTTTCGTATTGATAGTTCTTTAACTACCTCATGTTAAGTAATGATCTTTTTGCTAGGAAGCTGCGTTTTCTTCTGAAGAAAACTTGTTCTCAGATTAAATGTTTTTCATACACTTAAGAAGGCAGTTTTGGTTCTCTTTCCGTACCTCCCTGCTTCGTTTTGGTCCTATTTCTTAGTAACATTGATGGGTTTTTGCTTTATTCTTTCTTGGGTTCTTTAGTTAAACCTAGAGGCCGGATTTTATTACACAAAATGAGAAAGCTATGTAGGAAACTGGTGTTGATGAGAAACCCATTGACAAGTGTGAGGAAAAATGTCAATTCGCATTCGGGAAGGGTGTTTAGTGATAGAAAATGGATTATCCCATTTCTTGCAAGCTTACTTGTATCGATCACTTTGCTTTTCTATGCCATTTTTGGGTTGTTCAATGCTCCTTATGGTGGAGATCAGTTGCCATTTGACATTATTTCCTTTGCGAGAGCAGAGGACTCCAGTGGGTATTTTGTAGAATCAGATTTGAAGAAATTCTTTAACACAAGTGGCTCTTCAAATGTGGAAGCACCTAGACTAGCATATCTTATTTCGGGGACCAAGGGAGATAGTCATAGGATGATGAGGACCTTGCAGGCAGTGTATCATCCTAGAAATCAGTATGTTTTACATTTGGATCTTGAGGCTCCTCCACGTGAAAGGTTGGAATTGACAAATATGGTGAAGAGTGATCCAACTTTTCTTGAAGTGGAGAATGTTCGTGTAATGGCACAATCCAACTTGGTAACGTACAAAGGTCCTACGATGATTGCTTCTACCCTTCAAGCAATTGCAATACTGTTGAAGGAGAGCTTGGAGTGGAATTGGTTTATAAATCTAAGTGCCTCAGATTATCCCCTTTTGACTCAAGATGGTTAGTGCTAAGACTTTGGCCTTTTGTCTTTTGATTCATTATCAATGCTGTTGCTCTTATGGTTATCATTTCTGCTTGCCATTATGCAAGAGCTTTTCTTTAGGTTAATGTAAATGGAATATTACTAAGCTTGTACGCAAATTTTGGCTAAAAATTGGTCTGAGAACATTGCTTGCTGCCTCCTACTTTTATCACAATGTACATGCATTGTTTAGTGCAATTCTAATATAAATAAGCTTGGTCTTGCATTTATGTGATCCTCTTGATCTTCTTTCCTGATTCAACAGGAAAGTTATATTGTGATCAAACTTTGGAATAGAATTTTAAAGCGCGTGGATATTTTTAACTTAAGTTATACTGAAATTTTTTTTATGAGGGGGCTCAATAAGACCTGTCTAGGTGCTGGTCCTTGGACAGGGATTTTGGAACCCAGGACATTAAAGTATTAATAAAATATTTTTAATTTAATTTTAATTCAAATATATTTTAAAATATTAAAATGTTGATATTTTAATATATATTTTTGAAAATCTTGGGTCTTTTGGGCCCGACGGGCTCGGCTTGTTCTTTGATTGGGCCTTTAAAAGGCTGACTGGCTTTGACCCGATTCAGCCTGTGGATAGGTTTAGGCTCAATCAATTGTCTAATAAATTTTAGATTTTGCTGGATTCTTGAATGAGCTGACCATGTCTCAATTGTCCAATGGGGCTTCTGCAGTTCTGCTTAATCAACACAATTGCATGAGATTTTTTTTTCTTTGAATTTTTTATGCACCATTGGCTATGTCTTTGGACATTAAGTTGCCTCTTTTGTGAATTTTTGCTACCTGGCCCTTGCATAGCCGGATAGGCCCATTTGATAGACATCTGGGTGCTCCAGTAATTTCCACTTGTACTATCACGTTAGTTTTACTTATGGTTAAAATTTAAGAAAGAGCTCCATTGGTATGTTTCTTTTAGACATTATGACATGCATTTGTTGTTGATTTGTAGGGTATTTTCAGAAACTTAGAGTTGTGTTAAAAGGTTTCTGCTCTTTCTAGCTTGTTTGCTTAAGGATATCTGATATGTGTTCTCATTGTGCAGATTTGCTGCATGTTTTCTCCAATTTGTCAAGAAATCTCAATTTCATTGAACATATGCAGATTACTGGTTGGAAGCTGTAAGATGAATACCTATTGTACATGCTACTCTTAAATATTCCTTTTCTTATGCCCTGATGTCCCCAGTTTCCTTGCATAATTATGTGCTTTTGCAGGAGCCATAGGGCAAAACCAATCATTGTTGATCCTGGCCTTTACTTGTCCAAAAAGTCTGACATTGCTTGGACCACACAACGTCGATCACTGCCCACATCTTTCAAGCTGTATACAGGTTGGTTATTGTTTCTACTTTATGGAGCATACCATACCCTAGACCTTCTCTAATCTTAGGTAGATTACTTGCCCTCCACCTCTTTTTGGTTTTTTAAAAGTCATAATGCATTTATGTTGATCAGTGTTATCTTGAAATGCCAAACATTATTTTATAGTCTTAGACTGATCAGATATCGGCTGAAGTTAATGTGCCAAATAAGGATCACATGTACTAATTTAGGTCTAGATCTAGATCTTAAGACTTAGGGGGCATTTTCTTTGCCAGTAATAAATGCTGGAATTGAATGTTCTTGCTGAGTGTTGTGGATTTGCCAGCCTATGTCTTATTCCTTGGAGTAAGAAACCTTTTTTTGCATTTTAGAATCAAGTCTTCTATGTTAGGGTTCCTTCCTGTGCTAATTTTGTTGTCGGGAACTGAAAAGCTTCAATCAGTTGTTGATTCTGAAAGTGAAAACTGTGAATGCAATGTTTTTGCCTGGGGCCAAAGCCTAAAGCCGGCTTTAGGTGCTTATAGTTAAAAACACGAGGCTATACTCCACCCTTCTTCTTTGCGTGTCACTTGCAAATTTCCCAATCCTTCACTATTGCCAGAGACTAGAGAAAGGTGGAGAGATCACCTTTACCTTGCAAATGCTTGAGATTTGTTTAAGCTGACCTTCTTGAGCCTTAACCTAACTCCTAATACTCAAATGATTGCTTGATGCTCTGACATCAGCTGGAACAAGCTGCTTGGTATACTGACAAGCAGCTAGCCCTCTGAATGCAGCTTCAAATCCTAAGGATGTAACTATATATTTAATGTTCTACATTGTACACCAGTGAGGGGATGGAGATTAAATCATAGGTGGGTGAGACCAGCCATGTAGGACAGTTGTTCATCATATGCTCTCTAATCAATTGGCTCCCCTGGGTATTCAGTGCTTTCAGTCTATTGAGCAAGTTTATAATATCATAAAGATGTCAATGAATCAATCGAGGATTCATTTTGAATCCTGCCAATAAATTGGTTAAGCTAGGACATCAGTAAGCATTTAGACTACTCAGATCTTCAAGAATCATAATTTCCTGCTCCATGTCCAATAAGTCTTCTCTGGAGTTGAAAGCTGATCTAAACAACCAAATCTTGTTAACAGTTCCCACGAGCTTGCTAGTAAAGTGTATTGGGGATTCTAAATTTAGACTTTTATATTGGTTTGCATTTGCTGGCCTTGTTGTATGAGTTTTTGTTGCTTTTCTATGTGCATATAAACAAGACACTATTGCACTTTATATTGATTTAAGTTGAATTCTGGAACATGATGTTTCTATGCATGAATAAAAAAAATTTTCAAATGGTTATCTCTGTCTTTGTTTTGTGCGCAGGTTCCGCATGGGTAGCACTTACTAGAACCTTTGTTGAGTATTGTATATGGGGGTGGGATAACCTCCCACGAACCATCCTTATGTATTATACAAATTTCATTTCCTCTCCTGAAGGCTATTTCCATACTGTTATTTGCAACACTGACGAATTTCGTAGCACAGCAATAAGCCATGATCTCCACTATATTGCTTGGGACACTCCTCCAAAGCAACATCCTCTCTCCTTGTCAATAAAAGACTTTGACAATATGGTAAAAAGCAATGCGCCCTTTGCTCGGAAGTTCCATAAGAATGATGCAGTCTTGGATAAAATTGATAAGGAGCTTCTGGGCCGCACTGGCCGTTTTGCACCTGGAGCATGGTGTATTGGGAATTCGGACGGTGGAGCTGACCCATGTTCTGTACGCGGTGATGATTCTGTATTTAGGCCAGGCCCTGGTGCTGAGAGGTTGCAAGGACTCCTAAAGACGCTACTATCTGAAGAATTTCGGAAAAAGCAGTGTTCATGATAGTGGCATAGAGCTGGATAACTGCTAGTGTAAATGGCTGGATTCATACTTCTTTTTATTTTTGGGTAAATGGTATTTCATTAATCCAAAGAAGCAGGAGGCCTGCTGCCAGTTAACAATCAAAGAATGAACTTTTGCACTTATACGACCCTCCAATTTTTACATACAGAATTATTAGAGAGATCATTTGTATTTTTTACAAATTTTAAAAAGGATCATTCGTATTTTTTACAATTTTTAAAAGTTGAAATTTTATGTTAAAACTTATGTAGCTCAATCAAGCTCTTATTGTCAGTTACGGATTTTTCGATCAATCTCACACTTTGTTAACACTAATAGCTGAACTTGCTTTGAGAAATCACAAGAAAAGAAAAGATGATCCCTAATCTCTTCCTTTGAATCACACTAGTAGCACTTTATATCACAGAAGTAGCAAGTGATTTTTGGCAGTTGAGTATACCATTTCTTAATATTAGCTAGTGTGCTCAATCTGCCAAGAATTGCAAGCCAAGTACAAGAAAAGATAATCCCCAGTCTCTTCCTTCGTATCACAGAACTAGCAAGTGATTTTGGCAGTTGAGTACACAATCTCCTAATAGTAGCTAGTGTGCTCAAATCTGTCAAGAATTGCAAGCCATTTGCAAGCCAAGTGATAGAACTATGTCTTGGTAGTGATGAGAAATTCCATACTAATTTATGCCAAGTTACAGTGGGTTTCCTATCCCTAATCTAGTCCCATGTAGAATGAATTTGCCAGATTTTGATGCCTACCAGACAATAACATCCTCTTTTTCGATAAGGGTAAGGCCAGCCAACTTCTGCTGCAAATCCTCATCTATAGCAGAGTAATAAAATTCTGGGTCCAATAATTTGTTAAGAGAGCAGAAGCCACAGTTGCATTCGAAGGGATTCATACTTCATAGATCACATAGATGTTTAAATAGAAATTTCACGAGGTTGTGTGTTATGCAGCTAATAATCAAGCTCGTACATCCTTACAAGTTACAACATTTATTTGAAGGTTCAAATGTTACAATTCCATCATGACCATTGCATGATTAAGCTCTGTCAGCAGATACTAGGTTTAGATACTCATGAAGAATTATTTCAGCTGAAGAATCAGTGAAATAGCCCTTTTCCACATCCAAACCTTCTCGGGCAGCAAGCATCTCAACCCGAGACTGCACCCTGTCTGCTCCTAACCGGTTTGGCTCCAGAAGAATGCAAGCTATCTCAGTTGATTCCTCACCGTCGACCAGGGCCAATGATTGGACAGATGGGAGACCACCGCCTCGAGCACTCACCATCCTTGCAAAACCGCGAGTGACAGCGACATCTGTTGACATGATGGGTATGTTGTACATTCCAACCCATGGGCATGGCCCGATCGTGGTGATGCCTCTACTACAGGCCCATTGGTTTCCCGTCAAATTGGGCCTGTAGTAACCTAGCTGCCGCCTGATGGTGTCCAGGGCCTTGCCTATTGGGTGTGCTGCACCGTGCCCAAACACTGGTACTGCAACACCAAAGAAAAGTAAGAACTCTTCGACAAGGATCTTCGGATGAAAAGTAAGTTCTCAAATTAAACTAAATACGTTGATCCAAAGAAATCACAATCTGCAGACAGCCTTAGCAAGCCAAGCTGCTTCATCCAATGATGACCCAGCCAAGGGATGCAAAATAATGTCATCAACCACGCCGACCAGAGGGTGTGCTCCAGAATGCAGCTCAAGGTTTATGGCTCCATAAGCAGCCTCAACCCTGGCTAGGAGAGGTTTATGGCTCCATAAGCAGCCTCCAGAATTGCATTACCCGTGCTGTCATGAATACCATATGAAACAAGAGTGTAGCGTGTCCTGTTATATGCTCGATCCCCAAATTTGTTCATGATGACAGTTTCTCGGTCTAGCCTTGCAGCTCTTTCTATGGCGTCAAGGGCTGCACGGCTACGTGATTCAGAGAAAAAGACCTTGCGGCATAGTAGCATGGACTGATTTGCAGCCCTTTTTATTCTGGTGAAAAAAATGGGAAATTTATGATAAAACCTTGAGATTGGCCAATAGTGGTGACAAAGTCTGTTTCCTGGAAATGTTTATTGTATGTTTCATGTTTTCTCCTGTATTTTTAGTATTTGAGCAGTCTTGATTTGAATTTTAATTGTTAGAATTAAATATGTTTTTAGTACGTAAAATTACGATAAAATAAAATAAAATTATATTAGGAATAAAATTATATTAGATAATATTATTTTATTTTATATTTGATATATACAAAAATTATCATAAAATAATTTATTTATTAATCAAAATTATTTATTTTAAAGTTTATATAATTTAAATTATTAATATGATTTTTAAGGGTATAATAAAATTTGTAAGTTTAATTTTATGAATTAAAAATAATTTTTTTCATTTTAAGAGGATTGAATCTTCTTATACTAAGAGAATGATAATTTTTTTTGTAATCATATCTCTTTTAATTAAATATAAATCAAATATAATATAAGATAATAATTTTTTTATATTGTTCTATTCATCATCTTATACATTAAACATTATCTAAAAATCCAAAATTTTATTAATGGATCCCGTGATTTTGGCTTCTTCCACCATTTAACAATTTATAATTGATAGCGTAAAATTAGAGTGAAAAGCATAGGATTCATGGATCTATTCCTAGAAAGGTTAGCCCTGTTTTAGGAAGAAAAATGTTGCCTTGAGAATTTATTCGAGTAGCAAAATTCAGCATTCAATTCCATGACTAGAAATTTGTAGTCTTTACCAAAATAAAAAAATATTTGTTGTTAATTCCCCAGTTGGATTGGATATGCTGTAAAAACTGAAAATGAAGTGGGAAGAGAGGGAGAAGCTGGAAGAAGAATTTGTAAATCACATCATCAAGATCGCTATTTCGAAATGAGAAAAAGTAAATCACCCTGTTCTTTCATGAACAACAACGAATGCATACCTTTTAATTGAACATACTCCTCATCTCATCCCAGCATTTCCCAACTAAAAAGGAAAAAAGGGTCAATTTGTTTGTACTAAGAAATGTGCTGATGTGTGGCCATTGTGGAGTTAGAAACAGCAGGACCTTACCTTGCAACTTGAGCTAAAATCCCCTTCTTCCGTCCGCTCGTGGTTTCTCATTTTCTTTCCCACTTCAACCTGAAAATTCCCCAATCAAACACTTCAGCACCTAGCAACTGCTACGGCTTTGCCTATTCTCCTGCTGTTATTTTTGCTGTTGAAACCTTATCTTACATAAGCTCAGGAGACAACAAATCCACATATGATCCATATAGGGTGCAAACAATGCTGCATCATTGATCACAAAAAAAAAAAAAAAAACGATGCGCCGCCGCTTATGAGTGAGCATTTGGACAGCTACAAAGACAATGGCCCCACAAGTCTGATATAAAATCCTCAATCATAAATGAAAAGACTCTTTTACCTGGAAACAAACATGAAACGCATGGTGCTACAGATGTCCGAGATCAAAACCATAACTTGATAAAAATGTTTAGGCCTTGGCTTGGCATGATCATTTTTGTCACGTAGGAGAACAAACACAACTAGAAGCGTCCAAAGCCTGCCTTTGAGCGTAAGCTTTTGGGTCAGAAAATGGTATCCAAAGACGACGGAACCGGCTCCATTTCAACCCATCCCTTTTGGTGCTTTCGTATTTACCATATCTTCTCTTTTATAGTATGTTAAGAACAGAAAATATGACCAAAAAAAAAAAAAAAAATGCACCCATATTCACAAGGGGAGCAGATAGATGTTGATGAGTATTTGAATCAAACCCATGTGACTCGCCTCGCCAATTGACGTACTTGCATAGTATACTCCTCAAATTAAAGATATTTTTGTTTATTTATCTTGACACATCTGAAAAAGAACCGAGTACATTTGAGTTGCTAGGAGCTTAGAACTGATGATTTCAGTGAGAAGAAGGTATACGAAGTTGGACCTACTTAACCGCATTGATTGTTCATAATATTGGTGGTCCATTGCAAATTACTTTTTTCATTTTTTGTATAAAGAGGTCGTAGTCTGTTATCTAGGATAAGAGAAAGTATTATAAATATTGAAATCTAATATAAGCTCTTAAAATATAATTATATAAACTAATTAAATTAAATTAGATTTTTTGTAAATTATGTATTTTCATCCAACCTGAAATCATCACAAAAAACAAGTAATGAAAATAAAGTTAAAACTAAATTAAAAGGAATAACTTCAGGTGTTATTAACTAGAAATCTGACAAAATTAGTGGTAATGCCTGAAGGTGAAGAAAAAAATAGACCAAGTCCAAACACAAGTGGAAGGCAATGAAGAAAAAAATGACTTTTAAAATGAGTACCATAACCTGCAAGGCAACAGATCTTTTGATTGCTAAGAAGGAAGTGAATAACAGAGAAAAGTTCAACTAAATGGATAAGAAATCGCTTTACTGGTTCTAGGCAAACGACAATCTTATTTTCCTTTTTAATACGGTCACGATAATCAAAGTTTTGTGTGGGTTTAATTTTTTTCAAACAATTTTAAGGGCTTTAAGATTATTGTATTTCTCCACGTTCACAAATTCTACTTATAGAATGGTCTTCACAAAGATTGAATTCCGATAGACAATAAAAATAAACTCGCTAATCCCTATAGATGACAACCTTAAACTTTTGGTTGATACGATCTTTTATTTATTTATTTATTTATTTTCTTATGACAACAGTTTTAAATTCAATTCATCCTTTCATCCGTATTATAAATTTTGTTAATATTATTAATCCAGTTGGACTTGCTCTAAAATGAACCTCGTCGCACAACCCTAAGTTCTTTTTTAATTTTAATTTTTTATACATATTTAATAAATTATTTTATTTTTAATAAATTAATGTGGGTCCCATTTGATTTTTTTTCATTTTTTAATACTTTTCCTTTTTAATATATAATTAATTTCCCTAAAATACAAAACAATAAATAAGTATTTTTAAAGGATTTTATTTTTTTGGTGTGTAGATCTATTTATACCAATTTTTTTCCTTCTTTTATTTTATTTTTATTTTTTTTAAAAATTATTTTTAGATTTTAAATTTTTGTAGGACTCACTTGATAAATACCACTTTTTTTTTAGGTTCAATAGTATATGAAAAAACCTATAAACTGTAATTTAAAAAAATCAAAACCCTTATTTTTTTATTATAATCAATTAACCTCTTTAATATTTATTTACATATAATT